CCCCCTCCCCCTCTCCCCACCTTTTCCTAAGCTTTTTACTATTGGAAAACTTTGAATTCTTTCAAGGTTGTCAGTCCCCAAACAGGGACACATCAGGATTGAACAGGCAACTTGTAACCGGCATGTCTATACTTGTAACGTAATGGGGGATTTCAATCTGGGTGCATTATTCCATTGTCTCCTTTTCATGAAATCTTTCTTAGCCTGACTGTCTTGGCTGCAGGTCCTTTGAAAATTTAGAACAATGCATGGACAGGTTGTTTTTCAAAGAAGTTTTAAAAGGGCATAGTAAATTAATTAGTTAAATCAATTAAAATTGTTATTGCCACCCACTCTATTAGACCAATATTTTTTCTTTCCTCATTTCTATCGGCAACCTGGGTTTCAGACCAATGAAGATGACCACGGATGAATATGGAAAACTGTGGCTCTCCATTTCTAATGAAGTCAAACAAAACCTAAAGGTGGCACCTTCTCAAGGAGCTCTGCCAGTGATGCTAGACATCTTTCAGCAAAAACTGAAGCTACATATTGTTGATATCATAGGTATGTAGCTTAAGATTGCTTCTGATTCATGGCATGTATGATCCTGAAATTCTAGGTTAGTACCAGTAGGTTAAAACATGTGGAATGATCTGGCTGTTGATGGAGCCAGGTGAAGCTACTTCTCTAAAGCAGCTGGAAACCATTTGGGCTTTTCCCAGAAATTTGGACCACCTCTAGGAGTTTCAAGAACATGGATATACAGACAAGATGTCTGTAGTTATTTTCTACTTTCCCAAAGTTCTCAATGTAGGGAAAATGTTCAATAATTGTGTGCCCCCCTCTCCTTCTTACATCCAAACTGAAACTTCAGGTGGTGCCAATTGAACAGGAATTAAAACCAGCTGTTTCCCCAGTCCTAGTTGGAGGAAAAAAAAGAGGATGTTTTGGGAAATGAAAGTCTTTTAATCCAGCTGCAGCATTCATAAAGCATAATGGCTAGGATCCAAAAAACAAAAACAAAAATCCACCTATGAGACACACAGGTGTTGGAAATTCCCACAGGGAGTCTGTGACATTTTCTCTTTGAATGACAAACCCACATGCATCGCCAAATTTCTTTAGAAATAGCGCCCTTCAAGAGCTTTGCAGGGCAACACCTTTGTGAATTTTGTAGCTTTTCTCACCTGTTCTTAAACATCTCCCTGATGTTATATGAGAAAAGCATCAGGACATAACATGCACCCATGGCTTTCCAAAGTTAGAATGTCAACTTGAGATTTAATACAATTATTTCATGAAAGAGGATTATTTGCAATGATTGTGCCATAAAAGGAGCAGAATATTAAGAACTTTCAAAATGCCTTCTTTAGGAAATGAGGGAATAGCAGCTTGTCGACTGCTTCCGTCAATCCCATGTCTTCTCCACTGCCGCCTCCATGCTGGGATGTTGGCCTTGTGGTTCAGGTCACCTTGCTCTGCGCTACCAGACTGTTTACTATATCAGTGTCAGAAGGTGATGGAAGAATCCTGAAAACCACATTGTCTCCTTTTCTGACTGGTATGAAGGAAGGGTGTGGTTTTGCATAGGGGTTTACCAAAGTCAACTCCTATACTGCGTGGAGATGTGTTTTGGCATCAGCGTGCCTCTCCTTCCAGTGGGGGAAAAAAACCATGTCAGTCCAACATTGACAAGGCGGTAAGATATGGGTAGCTGAATAAGTCATGTTGTGCAAGCCACACATTTTCTATTATGTATTTGTATAACTCACAGCAGATTATTAGTAGGATCAGGTACTTGAATTACTCAGTCATTACACTCCATAGTGCAGAGAACTGTCTTAAGCTCTGTCTACTTTGGTTAAGCTCTTGAAGTAGCATCTTAAGCACCAATGTTGTAGAAACAACCTGCAGATCATCAAAATGCAGGGATAATCTTCAATTCATAAGTTTATCCATGATTGCCTCATAATTACATGTCATGGCTGGGTCATGGCACTGTGCAAAAGTTTTTGACTTGGCACTGGTCACCGTTGACTGTACCTCAACAAAAGGTTTGGATATCAGAGCAGATGCCTAGTTTTGTTTTTGTGATCAAAGAACTGCTTCTTGCAAACGCAGCTTGAGATGGGCAATGTGACTCTAGCTTGCCAAATTGCTATACTTTTGCTGCACTTTGGGGTTGATATCTGAAGTGCAGTGTCTCTATCAGAATTAAAAGAACTTCAGCGTTGGGGTTTAAAAATCCCAGGTATGCAATACGAAGAGTTTCTGTAGTTTTTGCATGAACTTCCAGATCATCTGACTCGGTGAACTGTCCCTCCTCATCTTCCTGCCACAGCTACCTTTGACCATGGTGAAAATGTAACATAAGTATACTTTCTTTTATAAGAAAAGATGACCTTGGAAGGACCCCATGATTTGTTGCCTACACCCAAGTGTTGCTCAAATAGCATCTTGTTTTGATATCTGATCATCTGATAAGATGCTTTTGCTTGTTTAAATCATTTTGGTTTCAGTTTGTGACTTCAACATAGTTGGTCCCACCGTATCTGCTTTCTGGGGCAGGTCCATCATAGGTCTTTGGATTCTGGAGATAAAACTGGAGATCATTTAAAAAAACCTGCATCCACTTCATCTACCTCTTATGTATCAGGAATAGTTTGTGTGAAGATGTTGATCCCCTTGGATAGGAGGAAGAGTGAAACCTTCACACTGTCATAGCAATCAAGTGGGCTTATTTGCTGAAAAGGTAGAAAATGAGGCAGAATATCTCCCCGCTCCTCCCATTTCTTTTTTATCTACTCTAATACTCTTTGGTGTTGCAGCAGAAGGGAACTCTCAGCTTCTTCATACTGGTTGTGGTACCCCTCTGTGAGTTTTGGTGAAAAGGTACAGTCTGTCCGGCAAAATTGGGTTTACAGCACATCGCCGGATTGTCCTGTACACACAAGTAAGCAAAAATCCAGAGCTGCAGTGACTTTCTGAGATGCAGCCAGAGTTCCCAACTCTCCTGGTCGATGGTGAGGATAAGTAGAAACACAGCTGGTATTTCAATCTGTTTGCCAATGGATGATTTAGATCTTTTTGCCCATTGGAAAACTTCATCCCAAAGTGCAGTCAGCATACCAGGAGACTCATAAGACTTAAGTTTTTAATCATGGCGCTGGATGATCGTGGTGTTAAGGCAGGGTTGGGGGTTGGTTATTTATTTATTAAATAAAGCTCTGATTAGATACGAACAGGCATTGTAAAATGACTGTTTCGTGGGAGAACTATACGTAGGAAAACAATTTAAAACATTGATGTCTAATTACAAGTACGCACTGATCCATACCACACAGTCTTGCCTGCAGAGCAGGTGGCAGAAGGATTTTTGCGGCGAACTTTTAAGTTATAGCCATTTATTTATGGATATTTAACAGTCTTAGAAACAGGTTGACAATAGTGTTACATTACTAGATGTATTTAAATCTATTAAATCATTCCAAAAATGATTCAGAGCAGCTCTCAACTTAAAAAAGGAGTAACAATATTTACTTTCATTTGCCTCTTTACTCCAGGACTGTGGGTCTAATGATCACACAGACCACCACAAAACCATCTTGTTTTCTCCAAGTCACTGGTATGTAGGCTGGATTCACACATACTCAGCTATAGTGATTTGTTTAGTTTTGGTTTAGTGTTGAGTATGGGCACAGTCATTAATCTTGGTTAAAACAAATATGGCTTAGGCCAGTGATGGCAAACCTATGACATGTGTGTCAAAGGTGACATGCCACAACGTTTTGGGTGACACACTAGCATTCACCAACACTGGACAACAACTCTTCTCCCTGGTTGAGTTACCAAAGAAACTGAGTTTGTTTTACTCATATTTCATTTTTGTAATTATTTGACATTTCTTTATACATAGAGCATAGCACCACACGATTGAACTGTATTTTTTTTAAATAAATGAATATGTAAAGAATTGTTTCTCATTTGTTGGGGGGCGGGTTGTGACATGCCAGCAGGGTCAAGTTAGGCATTTTCTGAATTTTTGGCATGCCAAGCCCAAAAGGTTCGCCATCACTGGCTTAGGCCATGTTCAAACTTACTGACAGGAAATGGAGGCCTATGGAACTGTGGTTCTGAGGCAATGATCAGTAATATAAAATTGGACTCTCCAATCTTTCTGCTGCCAGCTTTGTGTTCCCTGCCTAAGGGAACTTCAGTGGTTCCTGATTCTTGATAGAAAAGGTATCAGTGAGGTTGAGGCTATATTCTGAAGTCTAGAAACCATGGCCTTTCTGGGCCAGGAGGTTCCCTGTCCTGTAATCATCTTTTTTTAAGACAGGGATGACCACTGGAGGTGAAAAGGTGTGCAATGTTGTTTGGTCAAATGCTGTTCAGTAATTTTGGGCAGCAGTCAAGGCAGGAAACATGTCCTCCAACGTCATTCTTTATTCTCCTTGCTTGTCTTCCTTGGACTGAAAGAGGCAGAGTTGCACTGAGCAACCATTGCACCAAGAGGCTTGAATGTTTGGCCAGCATCATCACACTTTTGATCCTTCCTTTCTCCCAACCCCCTTTTTTTAAATGAAGCAATTGCTTCGTTGGCGGTATGGCTTTTTCCCCAGCTCTGCAGTTTTGAGCTGAACAATTAGGGTTGCTTGTGTGTTGCTGGCTTCGGCAGCGGCTGTTGGACTGTGTAGCTCCTGATGGTTTATGGTTGGCCAACACTCTTGGAATCATGAAAGGATTCAAACTGGCTCTTCTCCTGCTTGTTGGATGGTAAAGCTTTCTGTTTTATAAAATTTTAATTGCTTTTTAATTAATAACAAAAAAGGAAAACACACAAAAATAATAACACACGATCGAGGAGGAGAAAAATCATTTAAAAGCGCTATTACCAAAAAACCCTGACAAAAATGCAGCAGAAGAAATAAAAACTTCTCATAATATACCATTATAATAGTAAATAGTTACAAATGGATGCGAAGGCTTTCTTTTTGGCCCTTTGTCTGATGAGAACTTCGTTTAATGACTCTCCAAATTTCCTAGCATTTACAAAGCAAACCCCCCAGCTAGCTGTGATTTTGAATCCCAGTCTACATTCCAGTAGAAGTGGGCATTTCCACAGAAGCCACATTAACCATGTTCCTGGCTGCTTCTAACGGACATGGCAGAAAGCTGCTTTGGGGGGCTGTGAACGGATGGCGATGGGAGTCCTCTCTGCAAGGCCCTTGGGTTTTTTTACTTGCAGCGGGCGCATCTGGAGGCAGGACATGTTCATGTCTGGAATAGTGAAAGGAAGATAAACTGCTTCCATATAGGAAAACCCTAGTAGCTTCTGAAAATCTGTGCAGGCCCTACTGCGGTTGCACTTTGCTGGCTGAAGGGAAATCTCTCCTTTGTGTTACTTCCTGTTGTTCTAAGTGACAAAGAGGAAACCCCTTCAGGTTTGAAGATAGCTGGAATCCCCAAAGAGGTCTAGTTCTGCAGAATGGGGCAAGGGTTTGGCTCAGGACAGCCTGCCGACTGACTCCGTTTGGAAGCCAGAAATGTCAAGGTTAAGTCACGTTTACAGAATTTTGTATCAATTCACTACGATGTAAAATGTTAATGGGTGTGAATTGTGGCCTGAACTTGATGGAAGGAAGGATGGCTTGCAAGGATAGAAGGATGGAGAGGTATAGCTATCGTTTCTTTTTTCTTAACTTATGCCTTTAATTTCTTGTGCTTACCATGTCTTAGTCCCAATAACACTGCTTGTTCTGGAAGGCATACAATGATGAATATATATATGTATGTGTACTTAATGGAAGAAGATTGTGTTGCTAAGTAGATTGCCAAGGTCCATGTAAAGCGCCCAAGAGAAAATAGTACATCTTCTGTGAACTGCACACAATTCTGATTGTAGCATATTCACCCTTTCCAAGTTCATAAATCTTCTCCCCTAAGAAAGTATCATGCAATTAACTAACAAAAGGATTGAATTTTTGTAGTTTTTTTTCTTCCTGGTTTTCAGTGTTGTACAAAGGAATGTTTTTAAAATGCACTAAAGAAGCGTGGTATTAAAATCATCTACAGAAACTATTGTATGTTCATGTTTACTATATGCCTTATGAATTAAAAAACAGGAGCTTAGAAGTTGAAAGAATTAATACACTGGAAATATTGTTTCCTTATGACTGTTAATGGCGTATCATCAGATTTAAAGGCTGCGACTATCTGTGAATCCAATATATTGTAAGAGTTTAGGAAAGCTATGATTTTTGGTCTATGCAGTATTTTTTTAACCACTTCTATCAAATGAGGCTTAACACCTTATAATAGGTAGGGGGCTTCTGGTCCTCCAGATCTTGCTCAACTACAACTCCCAGCATCCTTCACTGTTGTTTGCAATTGTAGTTGAGCATCTTTGGAAGCCGAGAAGTTTCCTACCCACCTTCTGACACTAAAGAGCTATTCCGTCTGCACACTGCAGATTCTGTTGTCCATTTTTGTTCCAAATGCTTAATTTTACTACTTCTGTCAAGTATGTAGAATTTAACTGAATAAAGCTTGGAGGGACTTAATGGGTATTCCTTATTTGTACCCCTGGTACTTCCTTTTTATTTTCAAACCATCTGCAGAAGTGGTTTCTTACTGTTCTTATTACCATGTAACTTTAATTAACTGCAGTGTAATAAATTATCCTGCTGCACTAAACAACTGTTGTGTATCTGTCACTGGGCCATTTATAATATCAGAGTGCCATGGTGTAATGTAAATCTAGTCATGCTGAAATGATCATTTTAACTCCAGGTATTCAAATGTGGGCACACTACCCAACTGGCTTAAACTTGCAGTGCCTGTATCTGCTGGGAGCGGCATAAGGAATAATCAAAATAGCCCAGGTTGGAAAAGAAAGGTCATCTTATTAGTTATATTGTTCACACTGACTAGGTGTGACAGAGTGAGCATCTAGTCCTTGGAGGAGCTAGTTTGTCATCCCACCCCTGTCCTGAATCATTCTAATCATGAACCAAATATGACCATCATTTCTCCAGATGTCCAGAGACCACATAGCCAGGAGTTCTTGGAGTCTCAATCCCAATGCATCTGAGGGCACCAAGCAGTAGAAGACAGATATGAGTAGTGCTGTGCTAGAGGGATAAAAGTTACAACAGCAGTGAATAGAATCCCAAAGGACAAAGACCATTTCATCACAAATCATTTAATGTATCATTTATGATAAGGAAACACTACGTCTGACTCAAACACTATTGATATTTTGGAACTGATGGTTTTACATAGTAACCCCACCAATATAAAAGTAAACACATTGAACATACAGGGTAGAACCAGAATGGGAAATACATAAATACTCCCTATGTTTAAGGCTACTCAAGTCTTTTATAAATATAAATGGCAAGACATTTGACTCCTTAAAAAAATAGTCCAAGTTTGAATACCAATGTATGCAAGAGGTAACACGCCTGGCTGGCTGAAAATAATTGGATGGGTCTGGCCACAGTGAGTAACTTAAGAGTTTTGCTCAACATTTAGTAGATACAGACAACTCTGGGCAATTTCCAGAGAAGGTGCTTGTACATTTGAAAGACTCAGGTGCTAATTTTCTGTTCCAACTGATAAGGACAAACTCTGACTAATTTGAAACAAGGCAGAATAGACCCAGTTTTTGATTCAGGCTTGTTAAATCATGTTTTAAGCCATCTTTTGTCCTATATGGGTATAATGGCTACACTGGCACAGATGATTAAGCAAGCATTGTGCAGAAACATGGTTGACCATGAACAGGTATGCAACCTGATTAACTTCTATTAAATCACTTTCTGCAAGATGAAGCAGTTAAATAAATCTTCCCCTGCTTTCATGCAATTACAGTATTACCAGGTGAAATGGGAAAATGGGCAACCATCATTGCTGTCTGTATGGCATTGCCTCATAGGCTTAACTCACAACTGCTACTCTGCAAATAGTCTGTTGCATCCTGTAGTAACATTTCTAACGGGACCAATGTTTTTGATGGTTTTTTTTCAATAATACGCCATCAACTCTTCAGGTAAACTTTCTGCTGTACACGTGTCAATTTCTTAAAAGGAAATTGTGAACCCATAAGCCACCAGACCAGAATTATATACTTTTTTTTGGGGGGGGGGAGGTCATAAAAGGTGGGAAAACTCAAGCAAATATATCTCCAAGGAGCTGGTAAAAGAATTCCTTGTGTTGACTCCTTGTGATTACATGGGCACCACCAAGTACATTTCTGGCCCAGCATGGAAGTGGTTTTCTTTGCCCATCTATGTCAGCAGATCTCACTGCTGTCTTCCCCTGCATACCACTCAAGGTGTCTATCACTCACAGACTGTCCATTCTTCCCCTGCTGACTCTCCAAGCAAGCAAAGGAACAGTTCCAATAGAACGACGATAGGATGATGGAAGGCTAGAAGGAGGTCTACCATACCTGGAGCCACTGTTGCATTTCAAAGCGTTCCTTGTTGCAACTGAGTATGAAAGGGCCGCCTTGGCCCAGTATCAGTTTCTACCTTCCTCTGCTCTAGAACCAAACTTTGCTCACTTTGGTACTAACTACAGCAATGGGTAAGGACTTTACCAATATGGAATGAACCTTTTTTTAATAGCTCCTCTTTAAGAGTCTTTAGGTCATACTTCACTAAGAGAATCATGCCAATTTCCCCATTATTCTCAGTGGAATACCATACCCCTTAAAAGCAATCTTGGTTTGTGCTTTGAGTTTTGTCCTTGTTTCTAGCATCTAGAGCAGTGTTTCTCAACCTTGGCAACTTGAAGACGTGTGGACTTCAACGCCCAGAATTCCCCAGGGAATTCTGGGCGTTGAAGTCCAC